TAAGGACCTTGCTGCAGAAGAAACGCATGCTGGGAGATTTGATTACTTGATATACAAGTTATAAAAAAGCAGTTTCTTTCCTAAAAGCTAACATGTTGCGTTTAGGAATGCAACTGCTGTTGTAATATTAATATTGTGTCATACTACCTTTCACAATATTTACGTATTAGCTTTTACGTTATTTAACTTAACTTAACATTACGTATCGTATCACAATATTACACTTGACAAATAGTTGTATTCTACAATTTTAGCTTTTAACAATTTATTTCATCTTAGTCTTCGTTGTATTGACATTGAATATTGCTTTATTTATTTATAACCTTTAAATACTGTTATTTATTACGATAGTTTCTGTTGCAACCTGCATTTCGTTGCTCTGTACTTGTACATGTGTAATGACAATTAAGTTGAATGTAATCTAATGTAATCTAATAACATTGATATCACATAACGTTAGAGTTCAGTGTCAATGATCGTTTTGTAACAATTCACTATGGCTGACTTATTGATTATTCAATCAGCTTATTGATGGAAGTGATTAGTTCCTTGTTGCTGTTAAGTCATACCTATGGTTTTAGTGGCTCACCTTGCTGACGTACTTCCGGTAGTAATGTAACTGGAACAGCAGAAACACGGAGCTGCTGATGATCAGCAGCGTTAAAACGGTCGTCCGGTTCACGCGAGGCATCCGGTAACACTGCACGGTGACCGGCTTCTCATGACACCCAAACCAGGGCTCCTAGGTCGTGATTGACCGCGGCTAAACCGTGAAACGGCGCAAGAAACACTGAGCTGGTCGCAGCGTCAGGAACCGGCTCCATCTTGAAAACAATCATTACCGTCTAGAACCTTCAAGGTAAAAGTCCGGGAAAACGGTTTTTAGCGGAGTTGCGGAAGTGAGAGAACGACTTCCCTGTCCCTTCACAATAAAAGTCCGTGTCGACCAAGAAGCCGACAATACGTCGATATCTTAACTAGTGATACTTTAACGATACGAAGCAACAGTAGATGTTTGTTTTACTTCGGTTACTCTTACTACTGATTCTTCAACCGTATGAAGTTATAGGGCATGTGTACTTTTAATTTGTACATTGCTAAACTCTAACTACGTATCGTTGAGAATACTTGTGTGTTTTTACTATTGATACTTTTAAGTGTATAAAGGTGAGTATGTGAGAAGTGTGTACTTTTAATACTGATACTTTGCCGACATGAACCCAAGGATGCGTGTGTACATTTAGTACTGATACTTGATACCACATACGAGTTATTTTACGAATACTATTTACAGTAACGTTCCATTACTCGCTTGCAAAGAGTATATCGCATTACTTTTCGGCGGATTACTTCTGCACACACACACACACACACACACAAACAAGATGGCGGACCGCTGTGCGAGCAGTTTCTCCACAACAAAAAGGCCGAGTTAAACTTCTCCTGGACTTTGTGAAACACTTTCCCCGCAGTGACCGGAGACATGAGCGGCCTCCGCCGCGTCTGACGGCCGTTTAACGGCCGCCCGAGTTCCCCGGGGATGTTCCGCGAGACCTGAGGCGGACTTTGGTCGTTTCACAGCGAATTCGGGACGGTAAGAACGGCCGTGCTGTTAGCTTAGCATCACGCTAACCGTTTGTTTTGGTTGGGCGGTCGGACGGGACGGGGACAGACCGGGAGACGGTGGCCGGAGGGCGGTGTGTCGGGAACCGGCGATCGGCCGGTATATCCGGACGTGTCCGGGGCGGGTGGAGATGCGGTAGCCGCCCGGTGTCGGCCGTGATGTACAGTGTTGAGCTAACGGCTAACAGGGCTAATGCTATTGTCACATATGATTCACAGAAACGCTGCAACGTCACCGTACTACTACAGTACTACTACAGTACTACTACAGTACAGGAGGACCACTGTGCTGCTATTACGAAGTACCCATTGCCACTGTATAATACGTACTATTACAACCTGTATGACTGCAGTATTCGGCTTTCTGCTACTCTACTACTGTTGCAGTACTTATTCCTCTGGACAGTATAAGTACGTTTTGCTTCTGTATGATATGTACTACTACAGCACTGTTGCAGTAAAAGACTTGCTGGTAATGTACAGAAGTACCACTATAATAAGTATTGCTTCATTTAATATTAGATATTTCCATAGAACTACTGCAGTATTACTATAGTACTACTTAATGTGACTACAGGAGTACCACCACACAACTACGACGGACTGCTTACTGCTGCTGTACACGAAGTACTAGAAACGTTTTACCACAGTACAACTGCAGTATTTGTGTTATTCTTCTACCATACTACATAAATACCGCTCCTTGCTACTCAACAGTACTTCCAGAGAAGTACTATAGTAATACTGATGCGTTACTGCTCATGTTTATGATCATGTCCATGAGGAAAGTAAAGTTACCCGTTATCACGGTTAGTAGTTTACTATATGTACCACTACTACTAGTACTACTAGTGGTGGCGACGGTGACGTTGGTGGAGATCTCCCTCCATGAATCAGAGGCCATCCGGCGTCCTCATAGTCCGCCAATGACGGCTTGTACAAGCGCTCATATTTAAAAGCTCTTCAATCTGATCCGTCCTCTCGTAAACGTTCTTCCTTTTAATAACGGCCGTATTGTGCTGTGAAAACGGAGACGTGAGACTCCGTAAAGGACGTAGTCAGAGACCAATCACAGCCTGCTGCTGCAGGACGCTGCGTCGCTTTAGACGCTAGTCTAGAAAAATGGGTCGACGCACACAAGGAGGAGTGAAGAGACACGCAAGGGACACGCAAGGGACTCTTGCGTGTGCGTGTCCCTTGCGTCTCTCTTAAAGCGGACAACAAATGGATAGAAGGATCATTGAAAACCAGCTGTTGTAATCAACAACAATATGCATCATCAGTCGCTGCTGAGTCGTCCTGAGCGTGACTCCTTGTAACTGAATGATGCTCGTTACCACAAAATCCGCCTCGCGCTGAGATCAGAGGGCTGTTGCACAAAAGTAGAATAAAGAAATCCAGGATGAGTGAAAAGCGCAGCTTGACTTAGTTTGATCTTAATCGCTTGCTGAGCCGGGATGAGGGGGAGGAGTTGAGTCAATCCAGGTGCACACATCTGGGATCAGTCCTCGGCTTTCTTAAGCAGACCACGGTGTCCGTCACAGGTCTGCTGATGCACAGATGGAGGAGACGCGCGCGGCACGTTTTTAACCCGCCGAGCAGCAACTGATGGTGGAAACTTATGAGCAGGTGAAGCCTCTAATATGACAAAGGGGGGAATACGGCTGCTTTTATTAAACAGAGAAAAGTCTGTCTGACTATCGCAGAGCGACGGAATGTGGAAGCATTTAAAAATATCTACTTACAGGAAAGTTTAAGACTGTTTTAGTTGCTTTTAATGATTGATGTGTTGGTTTTATTGTTGTTTATGTGCTGAATGTGGTTTCTGTTTTTACTGTAAAGTGTCTTTGAGACCATGTAAACACTCTATAAATATAATGTATTATTATTTATCCTACTTTGCCTTAAAGTGAACAGAGGGAGTTAATGTTCCTCTGGAAATCGACCCTAAAGACTCATTTCAGATGAATAAGAATGTTTCACAGCCACAAATCTCTATTCGCTGTGTCTAATTCTAAATATCTTCCTACAATTAATGTTCATACAGAACAAACAGGAAAAGATCCTGTCAACAGGTCAAGATAAAATATAAAAACCGTTTGCAGACGGTGTAGAAACGACCCCCCGTTATTTCAACGTGTTTATTGTCCTTCTTGCAGTCTGCGAAATATTGTCTGACATGAAAACGGTACAAAGGTTGTGGACGCTGAACAACTGCAATAGTAGAGCTTAAAATCAACCTGGTGACGGTAATAGTGACAAGCAATGCATGTCAATGGAAATAAATCCGAACATTCGGAATAACTGTTGAATGACTGCTGGCTTGGATGTTGGTTACCGCGGCGACGGCTGGCAGCATGTGGGTCGGCCTTCAGGGGGCCTCGTTGAAAGAAGGGTTCTTCTCCTCGGGGAGGCTGAGTATTTGTTCGTCGGGTTTGCTGTTTGTTTTTTTGATTTTGGGGGATTTGTGTATTTTGGTGCACTTTTGTGTTTCTGATAATGAAATATAGTTTGAGGGAGACGTCCTGTGGTTCGTCGGCAAAGTGAAGAAGTTTAGGAACGTTGTTTCATCTCTGGTTTGAGTCTTATTTCAAAATAAAGTTCTGCTTCACTGTGGAAGCAGTAAGTTTAATGTCTTTGATAATTTAGTTTTATAGAATTTGAAAAAAGCTACGAACTATTTAATCAACTTGTTTTACCGATGTTAGAAAAACACAATTAAAGCTCCACATGTTCTATTGAAGTATGAATATTAAATTATTCACATATTTACAGCCTCTGATCAGATTCTCTCTGGTTTAGGGTCACGTGACTGCTGCTCTCAGATGTGTCAATCACTAAATTTAAATGTATTTTATTTCATCAGCCATCTGATAAAATAAAAACTTGCGGATGGTAAAAAATATCCCAGCTGATAGTCTGTCATTTCTGAGTAGATATGTGGTGTGTGTGAGTGTGTGTACATATATTTGTATGTATGGACACACAATATCGATCAGAGGACACTGACATTAATACATGAGTGTGTGTGTGTGTGTGTGTGTGTGTGTGTCCCAGACTGCCTGCAGCAACTGCTGCAAAGCATTCTGGGAGCAGCAGGAGGAGGGAGGAGAGGCAGCCTCCTCTCCTCTTACCCCCCCCTCCCCCTACTGTCCCTGCCTGCCGATTGGCTGCCGGTTGGCCCAGCTGACTGCTCTCTGTCAGACAGACAGACGGACAGAGAGAGACGGGGAGGTGATGGAGGCTGCAGCGATGGGGTGAGCTGCCATTTTCTGTTCCTCAATCCACAAACCCGTCTTCCTTCCTTCATCCGTCCTCTGACTGTTTCCTTTTCATGTCAGAGGATTATTGAGAGAAGGGGGAGGACAGAGGGGGGACAGGGGGGTAGAGAGGGGGGAGGACAGAGGGGGGAGGACAGAGGGGGGGGGGTAAGCGGGAGGTTGTTCTTTGCTTCTCATTGTCTGTTGCTGCTGTGTTTGTGTGTGTGTGTGCGTGTGTGTGTGTGTGTGTTCTTTGGTGTATTTGATGCCTGCGTTCCCTCTAAACGGGGGAGAGAGGGAGGACGGGTGGAGCGGGGAGGCAGGGATGGGAGAGAAAATGGCCGACCGGTGATGGAGGCAGAGGGAGGAAATGAAAGAAGGGTGGAGGTGGGGATGAGAGGAGCTGGTTTCTATTGTGTCCTTTGTTCCAGCTGATCGCACACCACAACGCTGTTATTGATTACGTATTGATGATCGAAGAGTAGTACTCTCTAGAGGACATGGAGTACTCTGTAGAGGGCACGTAGTACTGTATATGACATGCAGTACCGTGTATATGATGCGTAGTACTGTATATATTACATCTGGTTCTGTGTGTATGACGTGAAGTATTGTGTAGTTCAGTGTGTGCGCGTGTGTTGTAACCAGTTGGTGAATCATGTGACAATAAAACAGTGACATCAGTGTTTGTAGCTGAGAGGAAACATCACATGATGCTGAGAGACACACACACACACACACACACAGGTTCTCTTTAATTAACGCAGGCAGAGGAAATACTCGTTGTATCTTCCTGGAGGCTCTGAGGTTCGCGTTCCTTCGTCCTTATTGGCCCGACGGGCGTCACCTGTCCCTCAGCTGACGAGCCGATTGGCTCCACAGTGACTCTGTGGTTCAGTTCATCTCTAGATGTATTTATGGGTCACGCCGAGTGATCCGAGCGCTGCTAAGCTAACGGCAACCTAACCATTAGCCAGCAAGTACTACTGCAGTACTCCGTCCTTACTGTACACAAGGGCTCGAGTACTACTGCAGTACTACGTCCTCACTGTACACCAGGGCTCGAGTACTACTGCAGTACTACGTCCTCACTGTACACCAGGGCTCGAGTACTACTGCAGTACTACGTCCTCACTGTACACCAGGGCTCGAGTACTACTGCAGTACTACATTGTCCTGCTTGTCCCTGCAGGTCACAGCTGGGGTCTCCAGCATGGCGGCAGCGTCTTACGACCAGCTGCTGAGACAGGTGGAGGTGCTGAAGATGGAGAACTCCAACTTGAGACAGGAGCTGCAGGACAACTCCAACCACCTGACTCAGCTGGAGAGCGAGGCGTCCAACATGAAGGTCAGTACACAGGGTCTCACACTGCACACGGTACTACTCAGATACTGGCCAAAGTACTGCTGACATTTGAGTTCAGTAATAATTAGTTTTGTTAATATTACTTGTGTGCAGGAAGATAAACTCGGTGTCTCTGTCGTAGACGTCGGTCCCTCGTTGGCAGTGAGACGTTTGTTAGTTTGAGCATCTCTGTTGAGTCACAGAGGACGAGGTGTCTTTGGTCTCTGCTCTTCTGCTCTTGTGTTGTTTGGGGTTTTTAATTCATCACATGTTCAGAGGATTATTTTACTTATTATTATTATTATTATTAGGATATACTTTTCATTGGTTAATTTATTTAATTTCATGTTTTCTCTTTTTCTTTACACGTATCTACGTTTTTTTTTAGTTTTCTGCTATAATATTTTTTTATTTTCATAATTATATTTATTCTGACTGTAGTTCATATCCAACTTCTTTTATTATTATTCGTTTTTTCATTCGTTCTGAATCTCTTCGTCTTATTTTCTCGTCCGTCTGTTTTCTTCGTAGTTCTATTGTTCTTTATTGTGGCTCCTTCCTCTCCAAACTCTCGCTCACTTCCCGTTTCCCGTTTCCTGTTTCCTGTTTACTGTCGATGAGCAGAAAACACACAGATGGACAGTGTGAGTCGCGTTAGTTTCCATCATGTCGCTGTATGAACGCTGCCGCTTCATCGTGGTGAGTCGAGACACAACGACGCTGCTGGGCGAGAGACAGACGGAGAGAGAGGGAGAGCGTTGTGAATCTGTGTGTTATTCAGGGATCAGGACACGTTTATTACCAAAATATGTCCGACATACGAGGAATTTGACTTGGCGGTTGGTGAACAACGGACGACAAGACCGAGAAGACGACTGCAGGAGGAATAAGATGAAATATGATGCTGTGTGTTCGTTTAAAACTAGAGGAATAAAAGTTAAAACATGTTAAAAAGTAAAGTGACGGGTCAAAGTGCACGTGTGCAGCGACCGGCCTGTTGACGAGGTCTCGGTCCTGATGGACCTCAGCCTCCTGCAGGACGGAAGGAGTTTAGCTGCTTCAGGGTCCTGGAGGTCTTTTCACAATATCTTTCATTTAACACTCGTCGTGTCATCCGGCTCGAGCTCGGCTGTCGGCAGACTAGAAGCACACTGTGATTTACCTTTTATTTTCTTAACTCGTGTAAAACAGGAAGTGCTGAAGCAGCTGCAGGGCACCATAGAAGAAGAGTCCGGGGAGGCGTCTGGCTCTCAGCTGGAGCTCATCGAAAGACTGAAAGGTAAACAAATGACGTGTATGTGTAGTAGTGTGTATTAGTTAACACTTTGTTACATAAAATAAAGACAAAACAAAAATCATCAAATCTGCAGTCAGTCGCGTGATGAAACGGAGTCACGTGTCTGCAGCGGCTTAATAACAAACCGCACAAACGTAGACGGAACACCGCTACACCCTCGGTTTAGTGCTGTGGGGCCGACAGGAGGCCTGTTGTGTCTCCTGGTGGGCAAATAAATATAAATACATAGAAGGCAGACGGCTAACTGGCAGCTGAGTGGTGTAAATAATCGGCTCAGGCACCGAGATCTGCGTTTCGGTCCGGTAGGTTCCAGTCAGGTAGGAACCGGTACCAATGAGTCGGCGGTTCTCGGTACCCAACGCTAATGTTTACCTCCGTCTCTCCTCCAGAGATGAGCCTGGAGTCTGCGGGGTTTAAGCCCAGGTCGAGGCCTCCTCTTCCCCTCTCGTCCTCCTCCAGCTCAGCCTCCTCTGGCTCCGGAGCTCCTGGAGGAGCAGCCGGAGGATCCAAAGCTGCAGGCCCCTCCATGACCACCGGCCTCCCCAGGAGAGGCCCACCGCCGGCGGGCAGGGACCAGGAGCGCTGCCTGGAGGAGCTGGAGAAGGAGAGGTACTGCTGAGTAATATTAGTACTACTACTCCAAATACTGGTTGGTTTACTGCTGCCACAAATGCTATTTGCAATACTTAGTTACACAAACTGTAGTTTGGTAGTAGTTTGCTGCTGTTGCAGTACTAGTACAGATAGTACTATCGCTGAAGGAAGCAGCACTGTCGTGAGTACTAACTGACCTTTTCATTGAGTTTCTTATTGACATTCAGAGAAATAAGGAACCAGGAAACATTTATTGCCATAATATATCAGACATACAAGGAATGTGACTCTGCGGTTGGTGCGTAACAGACGTCAAGACAACTGGAGTTGTTTCCTCAGATGTTCAGCAGCTCATCTGGTCAAAGAGCTCCGGGAATCCCAACAGGAAACGCAATTAACAAAAAACGTCCATCGTCGGCGCCATCTTGTGTGCCCCCCCCCCCCCTTCCTCTGAATCTCTGCTCTGTCATTGGCTGCTGGCAGGTGCCTCCTGTTGGCTGAGCTGGAGAAGGAGGAGAAGGAGAAGGACTGGTACTACGCTCAGCTGCAGAACCTCACCAAGAGGATCGACAGTCTGCCACTCACCGAGAATGTGAGTACTTTGTAACTGTACACATCGATAAAAACTACAATACCCATAAGCCCCAGCCGCTCTGCTGAGGCGCCGTGTGACGAGAGTTTGCGCTTCAGTTCACCCTGCAGACGGACATGAGTCGGCGTCAGCTGGAGTTCGAGGCCCGTCAGATCCGCTCTGCGATGGAGGAGCAGCTGGGCTCCTGTCAGGAGATGGAGAGGAGAGCTCAGGTGAGGTCTCACCTGGAGGCTGTTACACCTGTTACACCTGTTTGACCCCCGACCTCAGCATGTGACCTCTGTGTGTGCGCTTCTTCAGGACCGTGTGTCTCGCATCA